TGGGTGAACTGGACAACCACATGTAAAAGACTGAAACTGGACCTGGACCTGTCACCACTTACAAAAATTGATTCAAGATGGATAAAAGATTTAAATCTAAGGCATGAAACAATAAAAATCCTTGAAGAAAGTGTGAGGAAAACACTGGAAGGTATCAGCCTGGGAAAGAAAGACTTTAAGAAGAAGATTTCCATGGCAACTGCAACAATAACAAAAATAAACAAATGGGACTTAATTAAACTAAAAAGCTTCCATACAGCTAAGGAAGCAACAACCAAAGCAAACAGACAACCATCAGAAGGGGAAAAGATATTTGCATATTATGAATTGGACAAAAGCTTGATAACTAGGATCTACAGAAAACTCAAATTAATCAACAAAAAAAGACCAAACAATCCCATATATCACTGACATGAATAGAACCTTGGCTAAAGAAGACAGATGAATGGCTAACAAACATATGAAAAAATGCTCATCAACCCTAATCATTAGACAAATGCAAATCAAAACCACCCTGAGATATCACCTAACCCCAGTATGATGTACAAAGCCTCAAAGTACTGGCATGGATGTGCCGAGAAGGGAACACTTTTACATTGCTGGTGGGACTGCAAACTAATACAACCTTTTTGGAAGGAAGTATGGAGAATCCTCAAAGAACTCAAATTAGACCTCTCATTTGATCCTGCAATCCCATTACTAGGCATATACCTACAAAAAAAAAAAATCCTTTTGTCATAAGGACATTTGCACTAGACTATTGAGCTCAGTTTATAATTGCTAAAATGAGGAAACAGCCTAAATGCCCACCAACCCAGGAATGGATTAACAAGCTGTGGTATATGTGTACCATGGAACACTATTCAGCCATTAAAAAAGATGGAGACTTTACATCTTTTGTATTAACCTGGACAGAGGTGGAACACATTCTTCTTAGTTAAGCATCACAAAAGAATCCAATGTACTCAATTCTAATATGAAGGCAGTAGATGAGCTAATACAAGGGTGGGGGGGGTTTGTAGGGGAATAAGGGAGCGGGGGCGGGGGGGAGGAGGGGTGACAGTGTATGGCACACACCTCTTGGGGCCAGGACACAATTAATAAGAGGGACTTTATTTAACAAATGCAATCAGTGTCACCTAATTCTTTGTACCCTTAATGAATCCCAAACAATAAAAAAAATAGTTAAAATGGTAAATTGTATGTTATGCATATTTTACTATAATGAACAATGTTAAATAAAAATAACAAGACAAATAATTGTACAATAATGATAACAATAATAAAGTATACTGAGCTGATGCTGAAGGATTCTTTACCACTAAAATACATACATACTGAGCAATATATTATCTCCCCCAAAAGGTAAATTTAAAACCAAGCTGAAAACAGAGAATATATAATACACATGTGCTAGAAATAGGGATGGAACCATAACCCAGAGACAAAAAGAGAAGCCGGAATAAAGGAGACCCTTGGGTCCCCTGATATGAGAAGAATGGAGGCTCCCAGGTCAGAGCCTGAGAACCATATCGTGAGCATCACAGGCCTGACCTCAGCTGCTAGACAGTGAAGGCTAAAGTGGAGCCCCGCCCTTTATTGCAGAGACCCTTAAAGGGTTATTCTATCCATAAAGGAACTTAAAACAAAAACTCCATTGGGGAAGCAGCAAAGAAACCATTCACAGACAGTGAGAAAGGGAAAAGTCACACATGAGTAATTAAAACCTAAGCCTGTGCCACTTATGGGTGTAGGGTCTAAATTTACACCACCCATGTAGAAAGGAAACTCTGAGCTATAAATTTAGCACATAAAATATTCAAGATTAGTGAAACACTCAGGCCCAGCAGAAAGGAATACAAAATCAGTCTCTATAAGGACAGCTTCACAACCTCAGGCATGGAAGACTCCCACAGAAAAGGAAAGGCAGGGGTGGGATGACCAAGATGAGTTCGCCGTAAAAACTGGAGAAACAAAATCCATAAAGTACAGTTAGCCTGTGCACATACACACACACACAGGAAGTATCACCCTCAAGAACTGGAGTAGTCTTGAGAATACCAGTGCAACATATGACGTAAATGGCTAAGGAGAGAAAAGGTGGAAAACAAAACACAATTCAGGTTTAAAAGGAAGAAGGTCGGCTCCACTGGGAATTTCTAGAGCGTAAGGAGTCTTCAGTACAATCAGGTAGATGTCAGTAGGGAGCTACCAAAAATATAAATCTAGAGCCCAGGAGAAAGGTCTTGCCTGGAAACAGTCATCACTGAGGGTGGCTGAAACACCCACGCAGGCAGTGTGATGGGCCAGGGCGTGAACCATGAGCAGGGGCCCTGGAGGAGCGCTGTGTTTAAGGGCAGGAAACTTGAAGGTATGCACGCTACCTACACCACCAATTTTGACTGCAGCCTTTTCCAGGAAATGCTCTCAGAACAACTGTCCCCCACCCCGCCCCCGCCAAGATAGTCCCAGAGCCTCTCAGAGCCCTCTCTTGAGCCTGCAGAGTACCCCGCGGCTCTGATCTGTCTCTTCCTCTCCCAAAAGGTGACAGTGCCATCCTGCTAGTCTTTCTTTAACCCATATCTAGCAGAGTTGGATCCCTGTGGTGGCTCCATGAATGACTATTGAAATGAATGAAATGAATGTGTGTTTTCTGTTGTGTTGTGGGAACTCACACTATGAATGCCCAGGAGAATGGAGCTCAAGGAGCTGAGAATCTGGTTGGTTTCTGCTCCCTCTCTCACTCTTCCTTCTCTCCTTCCTGCTCTCCATTCTGCACTGGGAGGAAATAGCATCAACTCTTGGACTCAGGCAAGCACTGCCCCGAATTCATTCAATTCAAAGCACTGGGAAGCTTTTGTCAGGGCTGTGGTTATGCAAGATCATTCACTCTTCTCCCCCTTCCATCATGATAAAAATTACCTGCCACTGAAGGCACTTTGCAAGTATTACCTCATTTAATCCCCACAGTGTTTTTATTAGTCCCCCACTCTGCAGATGAAGGAAGTGAGACTCAGGTGACATGACCTTCCCTGGCCACAAAGCCATGGAGTGGCAGGGCTCAGGTTCACACCCAGACCTCTTTGACTCCAAAGCTTTAGTTTCTGCTCCTCTCTGCCCCACCCTCACACACACACACTTCCTTCTCCTTGCACTCCCCTGTCCTCCAGCTCACACTGACTCTCGCTCACCCTCTCCTTAGTTCACACTGTGTCTGAGTCATATATTCTTTGGCAGACAAGTAGGGGTAGAGGGTGGGAGGGGGATGGCCAGATGGGTGGTGAGTATAAATCCAGGTTTGTCTTTTCACAGTAACAAATACTGTTGTAGGGCAGGACCTAGAATCCATGATCCCTTCTGGGCCCCTTCTAGGATTCTCGGGGTGAAGGAAAAAGCAAAGGACCCTTCTTGCAAATATGGCTGTGAAGACTGGGAAATAGTCTCTGGACTGGCCATGGGGACCAGATTCAGAGCCTGACCTTCTTGTGGATGGGACAGAGACCCAGAATGCCTTTCCTTTAAGACGCTGAATTTCTTGACCCTAACTTTGTGGGGGCCCAGAATGGTGCCAAGCCCCAGTCCAATCTGGGAGGTGAAGCCCTAGACTTGGAATTAGTAGACCAGGGACCTAGGCCTCAATGATGCTGCCACTAACTTGGAGGACATTGAGCAAGACACTGCCCTCTGAGGCCAGCTTCTTTGTCTGTGAAATAGGATGACCATCCCAGTCCTGGCCCATTCCTCAGAATGGGTGCTTTGGCACAGACAGGGGCTTTGAACCAAGGAGGAGAGGGTGGGAGTTGGGAGAAGAAGCAAGTGCCAGGGGCAAGATGGCCAATGCCAAGAGAGCTGCCACCAAGGCGGCCATCCTCTTGCCAGGGCCATCTCACTAAGCACCTCCTGATGGGGTGACCTTGCCCAGTCAGCAATTGTGGCTCAGACTGTGACTATGAATGACAGGACCAAGTGAGGACAGAGAAGAGGATATGGGGGAGAAATAAAGTAGAGGAGTGGTATGGGGGGTGGAGGAGGAGGGATGGGAGGAGCTGACCTGAGGGTGACGGGCACAGAGGTCAGCCCTGGCTCTGTTTCTCATTCCAGCATGACACTAATCAGGCACAGTCTTTAGCTGAAGATCTCTGAGCCTCAGTTTCCCCACAAGTCAACTCAGATTTTATGACCTCAGCCATATCGTCTACTTGCCTTTCACAGGCCAGCCCTGGCTTCACAGTCAGGAGCTCACCCTATATCCCCTCTCCTGCCTCCCTCTCCAAGTCCTGCCGCTCCCCTCCAGGCCAACAATCCTCAGATTAAGCTGGATGCCCTGTCTTGACTTATGCTATATGCCACTCATCACAAGGCAGAGGTGGCCCCTGGATCACCCTCGGTCCCTCCTGTAGAGCATTTACACACAGAGGTGCTCATAACATCTGGGTCACGAAAAATGGTCAAACAGCTAGATGATGGGCACCGAGAAGGCTCTGCCTGCTCTGTCTGCTGTTCAGGCTCTTGGTCTAGCCCCCTCCATGTCCCACAGAAAACCTCCTGGATTAATTCCTGCCACCTACTCCCTTTCCAACAACTCAGCCAAAGGAAGTCCCCACCCTCACTGGGGTCCTTCTCCCCTTAGACCTCAGCTGCTGCCACTGCTCAAAGGTGCCTCCAGCTGCCACCCTTCTTGTCTAGCCGATTTCCAATCCTGCAGGCCCAAAATCCCAAAAAGCATGGCCCCAGCCACCTGCCATCAATTATCCTTGCCACCAGGTGGCCATTCTGTGGACAAAGAACGCTCTGCTGAAGTACCCTGGAGTGGCTCTGCCCAAGAAAACTCCACAGAAGTCTCCAAGAGAGGGAGACTTCAGGGACACAGAATTCAGGGATGCTGTGAGGGAGGTACCCAGAAAGATGGACCTAAGTCTCAGCCCCAGTTGCCAGCCCTACAGCCCAGCCTGCAACACACACACCTGCACACCCTGGTCAGGAGAGAAGCAGAACCTCACCTGGATGCTCGTCCAGTTTCCCCATGGTCTCCATCTGCTCCACCAGGTCATTCGAGTTCCATTGGCTCATCCCAATGAGGATGGCATTCTTCCCTTCAGCCACATCCTCTGTGGAAAAAGCAGAGACAGGCATGAACAGGCAGGGCTCGGGTGGCTACCCCTAACCGGAGCTGTGTCTGAGGAAGCGTTCATTTCTTCCTGCATTGAGGCAGACTTCAGCTATTGAAAGTGTCTGTAGCCAAAGATGGGTATGAGGCATCAGGAATTTGGCATTGCAAGAAGACATCATTGTTGTACCCTACTGGGCCTCCGCTTGTCACAGCAAAAGAAAGTAACAAGGGGGCTGAAAACCCACAGAAGGCTCCATTCCTAACACTGACGGCAATATCTTTTGAAAGAAAGTATGTTTGGGAAGAAAGAGAAAAACTTGTCCATTGCCAGCAGTTTTTCTTTGGGAAAGTTATTGACTTCTCTTAACCTCAGTTTTCCCATGAGTAAAATGGGACTGGCAATCTCCAACTCACATGGTTTTTCTGGGGGTTAAGTGAGACAACGTGTAAAAGATCTTGGCGTGTAGGAGTTGCTCATAGATGAGGCCATTCTGATTATTTCTTCCCATGAAAAGTAACTCACCATTGGGATTTGAGTGGATCAGGATTTGCAGAGGGCAAAAAGCAGCTCTGGAGTAACTGTGAGAGCAGAAGCGTTCTGGTTCTAAGCAAGCTCTGAGCTTTATGCAACCCTCAGCCCCCATCTCAACCCTCAACCTGTGTCTATCCTTGCTCTTTCCCTGTTGGAACTTAGGGACTACTCTGGGAGAAATCACAGGAGCCACATTCCCTAACTACACTGAGCACAAGGCCTTGGCCCCCTCCAATGCATCTGGTACAGATGCTCACTCTGCAAAGGGATGTTTCTTCAAGAACAAATCCACAGGGATGCCTCTCCATACCCCACTTCAAAGATATAGGCCTTCCTGGCAAAGAGCTTTGTGCCCTCCCTCATAGGACAGACACCTGAGGGTATGGAGGAGAATCCCCAAGCTCACAGTAATTCAGAACAAAGGGTTGAGACCCATTTCACTGCTAAAGAACTTTACCTGGCAAATGGAACCAATATGGTGGCGCTGAAGCTCCGGGAGCTGTCCAGAGTTCTGATTCACTCTAGTGCTCAGTTATCCAAACCCCATTTCTGGCTAGTACATCTTCTCCTTCCGTGTTTTATTTATCTGTCTGATTTATTTAACAACATTTATCAAACCCTTATTACACACTGAGATTGTTATAAGTGCTTTACAAATATTAACTCATTCAATTCTCATAACAATACTAACAAAGTACAATGATTGTTATCTCCTTTTTATAAATAAAGAAACTGAGACACAGAGTCACTGCTAATCCTTGCTCAAGGTCACTGACTGGAGCCAGGATTCAAACTCAAATATGTGATTCAAGAGTCTGAATTTTTGCCACCTGGATAGCATACCCTAGACATCTGGTACTGGCTGCCCAACACTCCAGCCAGGCACTGCACATACCAGACAACTACCCGAGCCAGTGTGTTCCATCTGGGGACAGGTTTACTTCATAAGTAGCATTACCTGTTGGAGAGAGCTCTGACCAAGGTGTAAATTCTCCTACACGTAAGCTTTGTGCCTTTCTACCTATCTCTCAACCACCGTGCCCGTTTTCTTATCTCTTAAATGTTAATAATAGCTCTAGCTCTGTAGACTTTTCTAGGAAGCTGATGTGGGGGCAAATACACAGGGAAATTTTTAAACTATGCAAGCCCAAATGCTATAAACAAATACAGGTAGCACTGTTCTTGGGGAAGCTAAATTGTAAAGAGGTTAAGAGCTCAATTCTGGTGTTAGCGTGACTATTTTCAATCCCAAACCCACCATCTGCTAACTCTATGACCTTGGACAAGTAACTTCACCTTTCTAGCCTCAGTCTTTTCATATATAAAAGGAAATCACAGCAGTGCCTATGTCATAGGATTGCTGTGAGGATTAAACAAGATGCTGCGGGTGAGATGTTTGCAAGAGTGCCTGGCACACAGTAAGAGCACAGGCTGAGATACTATCAAATGGTGGGTCACACCGTCATTTACCCCAGCGACATTCTACGCTGCATCAGAGTAGGGTAGTCAGGATCAGTCACCACCTTGAGTTCTTTGTCTCCTGTTCAGTTACCAAAGCATGCAGTGATTCACTTGTTCATTCTGACATTTATCCCGCAGTGAATAGACTCCTGAGCACCTACTGTGTGCAGTATGAGGCATGACCTCCTTCCTGTAAGAACCCAGCTTTGTGAAAAACACAACAGAAATAACCCTGACATGGTGAGATGGGAGAGCGAGTGTGCCACAGGTGCTCTGCACGTCCTGGCTCCTGTTTTTTCTACTATACAGTAGGTCCTCTCCCATGGGCATGTGTGAGGCTACCTGAACTCTGTGGGGTCCCCCAGGGCTCTGGAGGCCTGCACACGCCTGCCCCTGTGCAACCCGGCCTCTTGCCTCTTCTATTTACGAGTTGGCCCTGCCACATCTTTGGCTCTTAGTCTTTTGTCTGTTTTTATATCAAATACCCAGTATATCTTTCACAGAGTCTCGCCATGACTCTCTCACACTCTGCGTCTGGCCCTGCCCTGCTCAGACCTGCCATCTCTGGATCCCTTTCTAGAGGCCTCTGTCTCTGAGAGCCCTCGAACTCCCCTTCGCCTCCTCCATGCCTTCAAAGGCTCCCCACCTCTCTCCGCCCTGTCCGTTCCTCTCTCCCTCCTCATCCCGTTATCTGTTGCTCTCTCCTCTCTCTAGGTTTCATTTTCTCCAGCTGGATACACCTCTCTCTCACTTTCTGTGGGTATCTCTTTCCTTTCCTGGGTCCCTGCTCCTCGGGATCTCCCCACACACAACCCTATGAAGGTCCCCTCGCTCCCCTGCTGTTCTCCCGCCCCTGAATCATTATCTCCCTTCTCTCTAGCTCTGTGCACTGTGTACCCCTCTCCCCTCTGTCTTCTCATCCCTTCCCTGTCTCCTGGGCCTCGTCTCCCCTCTGTCCCCATCTCCCCGACATGGTCTCTCTCCCCCTCTGATCCTCCCCCTGTCCCTTCTCTCCACACTCAGCCTTCATGTCTGCACTCTGGCAACAATGGGCCTGCCCCTGAGAGAACACACGCACACACATGCACACACGCACGCAAGCAGCAGCTGAGACAGCTCCTTTTGGAGTCATTCAGGCAAAGAGGGGCGCCGCGTGTCAGTTCATCTCCGCTCTGCTTCCTCCCCTGCAGCACATACCTCCCAACAGGACCCACAGAGACCACAAAGGGCTCATTTGGATAAATGTCCGGGTTATTGATTTTGCTTTCCATCTTCTAGTGACTGTCGCCTGCATGCTAATTCTCCTCCCTGACGACCTCTGGTGCAGACATGGTTCTACTATCTACTTCACTCTCACTGAGCCCCCACCTGGCCCAGACTTACGGCCAGGCTGAGCCTCACCCACTGTCACCATAACCCTGGCCTCAACCCCAGAGTGACTCTGACCCTGGCCGAAGCCTGGATACTCCCCTTTAAGCACAATCTCCAATGCCACAGGGAAGTCTTCCTGCCCTGGAGCCTCTATTTCTGCTGGATCTACGGGACTCGGGGGCAGGGCATCTCCTTGTCCCATGCCAGGAAGCCTTTGTCTCCAGCTCATGGAGCCCAGGGCCTGATCACTCTCTCCAGATGGCCCATCAAACACCATCCCTTATCAGGCCCATGACATCCTTCTGTCCAAGGACCTAGTTGTGTCTTGCTAGGGCCTCTAGAATATAAGCTTGCTAATCCTCACCTTGCACTGCTCATCCCCTGCCTCCATCCCCCACCCACAGCCACCACTGCCACTCTCTCTTCACCACGGGTAGAGTCACCACTCCGCCTGTCCCCAGAATGCCTGTCCATAGCATTCTCCTCTCCACTTCCCCTCCCCCACTGGGGACATCCCTAACACCCCTGTGGTTTGCTCCTACGATGACTCCTTTGCCCAGCCATAACCACCCACTGCCCACAGTGACATCTTTCTGCTCCATCCATGAGACAAGAAGTTCTAGCCCTACCATTTTACGGAGGCAGACGGTGAGGTTCAGACACTTAAGACTTGCCTGAGATCAGACAGCAGCCAGGCAGCGGCGCAACTTTGATGAAAGCCTGAGTCCTCTGATACCAACACTTCACTTTCTTCTATTCACCCTTTTCTCTCTCTCTAGAGCTGGAACGCCCCAGGGTGGCTGTGTGATCATAGCAAAACCCAAGATCTGGAGGAGAAGACGTGGCATGTCCCCTCATCCCTCTTTCTTTTTTTCTTTTTTCTTTTTTTTTGCAGTTTTTGGCTGGGGCTGGGTTTGAACCTGCCACCTTTGGTATATGGGGCCAGCACCCTACTTTTTTGAGCCACAGGTGCTGCCCCCCTCATCCTTCTTTCCCTGTGAGACTCAACCCTGCCTCTGAGTCTTTGTCTGCAAAATGGGATTAGTTAACCCTGCACTACCTTCCCCCCCTGGTTGCTGTGGGAAACCAGGAAGTTAGAGCCATGAGGAGGCTCTCAGCCTAAAGCCCAACTGCTCGGGCGGGCTCCGGCCTCCCACAGTGCTGGACTGAGCCCTGAAAGGGCAAGAAACCCAGGACACAGAAGACAGAGTCAAAGGCAAAAGGACGCATGCCTCTAGCTTCCAGTCCAGAGGGTCCCCTGCCCTGGCTGAGAAAGAGAAATCCATGCTTTGCTCTCAGTCAAGCTACCCAGGGCCAGGCGTGCCCTGAAAAAAAGCTTAGCTCTCACACTCACGCTTACCCCTCCCTGGCCCTGCCAGCGTTTTCCTCCCTGCAACTGCCAGGGCCTGTCCTGCTCATGAGTATTCATGGAGGGGGGTTGCTATGATATTTAGGAAAACAAAAGAAAACAAATATTTCCCATCAAAGTGAGGGAACGGGCCTGGACACTCAAGCCAACAGAGTCTTACAAGGCTGAACATTTAGAAAAGAGCCTTCAAGGTGACATCCTACACCCCCCCACCCATTTTCACACAGTTCTCCCACCGGTTGGTGCAAGGCTCATCCACTAGATG